ATCATGTTCATGATCTCAGTGTCAGGATTAACTGGTCTAGATACGACCATTTATGTGCCGCCTGGATTAAGCTGGAACACAGGAGATTGTCGCTTTAAGTAGCAGCTACTCACTCACATGTATGCTTCATAGACAGAGAAATATTGTGTAGAACAACGTCCCTTACACGAAAACCTTCGTGGTTAAAACGTCAGCTTGCGTGACATCTAAGGCCTGGGTTCGATACCCCACACGGACACACTGTGCCCCGCCTTGGTATGGTTGGTATATTGCTCAAAGTAAGGACAAATCTCACTCACTCACTCACTCACTCACAACCCACATGCGATCCTGGCTGTCTCTGTTGACAGCACGACGCAGCACTCCATGTGGCCAGTAAAACTATAGTGATACAAGACACATCTTATGGATAACAACTTCTTGATTTATTTTTCACGACGTTTCGGGGCTAGTTCTTGCCCCTTCGTCAGGTGGATGATAACCTGACGAATGATCATCCACCTGACGAAGGGGCAAGAACTCGCCCAGAAACGTTGTGAAAAATAAATCAAGAAGTTGTTATCCATAAGATGTGTCTTGTATTACTACACCAACTTCTAAATGCCTTTAAAGAATTTCAAAAATACAGTGGTTAAACCTCTCAGTAGCACCTACTTTAGTGAATGTTGTTTACGCGATTTTTAGCAATATACCACCCATACCACAGCGGGCGTACCAAGAATTGACAGCACGCATTGAACCTTTCATTTGAATCAAACCCGGAATTTAGGCGTGACGAACGAACGCTTTAAACCACAAGGCTAACACTCAGCCTCAATACTCACACTGGTATGAGTGCGGTGCGGTGCGGTGCGGTGCGGTGTGGTGGAACGGGTGTACTGTGTAATCTGGGTGTTCTGTGCATTCTGTGTGCACTGTGCCATCTGGCTGTACCTTGTCATTGTTAATTCCAGCATCTTTATTTTTGGCGTGCTCATGTTTAAAGTACGCTCTCTGTTTTAAATTTTGTCATAGGTTTAAAAACATGTGAACTGACTGTTGATTTACATGAAAGTAGCACGCGGCAATAAATTATCATACTATAACAAATTATTTTTCTATTGAAATAGACATAGGAGGCCAGTGATACACTTCAAGACATTTCATCATCCATCTTTAATTCTACATGTGGTTGATGTATAAACACGTTTTCCAAAGTGTGCAAAAATCTACAACTCGTCACGTCAGCATAACGCACGTAATATCTTCCAGTCATTAGAACTTATCAGACGTCTGAAAGATCAACGATTAAACTTCTTTATATGAGTGAAATTTTATTAAAAGTATTGAAAAATACATCTGATCTTGGTCCAGATTCGAGCGTCACGTAGCTACTGCGCATGTCTGAATCTTTGTGATTTGCTACCGCATAGAAGAAAACTACTTATGCTGAGTAAGATGCTCGATTTCAGGCGGAGCATCATTAAACGTCTATGCGTGTATTTGTTGAAGAGTCGCGGCTGTGTAGTTATAAGTAGTATGGACATTAACGTTTAATGACTTGGTGAAATTACTTATTTTACTGGCGGTGTAATCTGGGTGCAAGGTTTCGCGGAGTAATACGGCAGTATTTCCATAACAGGTTTCCGCCCGTTTTATATAGTGCTGTTAAGTCTTTGCTGTCCGACATGAAGCATAATGATACACGGACCACTGGCCGAGGAGATTCCACGTCTAGACGCTCACCGAACACACAGACGAACATGAAAACTGTTCGGCGAAATAAGTCGCCCGCGGCATACATACCCATAGCTGTCGTTCATACTAATGCAGTTTAATTTATATTTTGTTCAGCAAAGTGAAACGGGTAAAGTATACATCATAATCACGCTAACGTATCTCTCCTAAACAAAAACTATAAAAGGACTCATTTCAACTTAACAACACTTTGGCTTCACTTCACTCGGAATATATATGACCGCCTCCGTGGTGTAGTGGTTAGAGCCCCCGACCGCGTCATACCAAAAGACGTTAAAATATGGTACTTGTTGGTCCCTGCCTGGCGCTCGGCATTAATGGGTACAACAAGGACTGGTCGGCTCGGAGTTAGTATAATGTGTCTGAGTGGGGTATTCATGCTTCACTGCGGCATGGTATCTCAGTGAGCTTATACTATAAAACCAGCTTAAGTCTGGGCTAGAACAAGCAGCCGCACATACACATACACACGCATGCACGTCGTCATATGAGCGAAATATTCTCAAGCACGACGAAAAAACCCAATTTCACCTCACCTCAGAATATATATATTGTGGGTGGGTGAGTGGGTGAGCGAGTGAGTGAGTGAGGCAGGGAGGGAGGGAGCGTCGCATAGGCATTATTTCAGCCATATTGCAAAAAGATCCAGTTTACACGGTCCATTAAAAATAATAAAGGCAATATGTTCAAATCCGCATTTGAACGCCTGTAGTGGTATACTCGTTGTGGTCATACATATAAAATCGCCTGATACCCGTATTAAATATATCATCATCAAATACCCACTTCTAGTTTGGTTCAAAGCCACCATCAAACACGAGTGTATACTCAGTTGCTTGGCCGTTTGTGAAGTAGACTATGGAGCTATGAAAGGAGCCAGTTTGAAGTATTTCCCCAACGTGTTCTGTTTTTTCACATGAGTTGTAAAATGGTACACCTGGCGTTGCCTTCGTAGACCCAACATGTAACATGTCCAAATATATATTTTTGTGAAATGGTTTCACATAAAAATGATTCGATGTTTAATTTCAAATTAAAAATTTGATGTTAATATACCCTATACTTATATTTCCTATGTATTAACTAAACAATTTTTATTTTGTGCGGCAAAGTGTATGAATAAATATTTTAAATCAACATGAAATACTAAGCCTCTGTATTGTGTCATTACAGAAGCGCATATTCACTTTACCCTCGAGGCGCAAGATTCCGTCTGCCTATTGTCTATGATAATTATTGTCTAACGATTAAGTCTATCAATGTGGCCCAATTATGACATTTCAAGCAAGCAGGTTTTTATATAAATTTTTATTTACTTATCCAATAAAATAGATTACTGCTATTTGTCTGAATTATTACCGCTCAATAAACCTGTCAGTGGCCTCAAGTAAAACCTGCCATTTGACTTTATGGCCACGCCCCTTGGGCTGTCACGTGATCAACCGTGAATAGCAATTAATGTGATTCTAAAAACATTTTATTGGCCGTGGCATTATCGGAGCTTAGCGGTACTGAATTATAGCAGTATTAGCTCTTTCCTCGGGCAAAACGGATTAGAAAGAAAAAAACTAACACATATGTTGACAAAGTTTGTCTTATGTGACCTCTGTAGATTGGGACTGGTGAGCTGTCTTAACCAGATTAGTGCGAATATGGGACTAGTCACGGTCTGTTCAGTTGGAAACTCTGGCAGTAGAGACAGTCTATACCATTTTTGGAATTGACGAGGAAGTAGTATTTACTAGGTCATTAAAATGACAAACGTCCACATCAAAGACGTCGTCATGTTGGCTGCTTCTTGCATCTTCAAGTCAATACGTGTCAAGTGATTTATCTCGTCGACATGCAGTAAAAACACAGACTCCTAGTGGGCGTTATGAGCCTATATCGTTGGATAAAGTACATGTACTATACAGATACATTTCGCTTGTGACATGGAGATGTTACAGTATGCATGCATTATAAACAACTGTGTATTGGATGTACCTTAACACAACCAAACTCGTTTAAAATAGAGAGCTAATAGATTAAACAAAATGTTCAACTCTTATATTCCAATGTGTACGTAGATTTCTACATTCCGTCCACATATTGTCTATGATAATTTATGAGTTTCGCGACCTCTACGGTCGCATAAACACGTTTCAAACAAATCGGTTTCACTTGAATTTGTACAGACTTGTATTATGATGATAACATTTGGTAAAACATACACATATGGTTGTAAAAGAAAGTGTTAAAACTAATGAAATTAGGAACATTAAGATATTTTAATCAAACACAGAAACATGTCCTGCCCTTGCCCACATGGGTAACATTTAATCATAACAGGACATTTGTTGAAATGACGTGCAGAATATGCTCATATATATACTCGGACACGTAACACTCGTTAATGTGTTTCAACATGCATTTATTTTGTGAAGGGATATCTCAGGCTGGGTGAAAGTTGGATTTAGGTTTGTGAGATTAAATAGCCAACGCATGTGAACATTTCAAGGAGCAAACAGTTTAAATGTCCTCCATGTTGAACAAGCCAAAGCGGGACGTCATGCAGGCTGCAATACGACGACTGATCTTAAGTCAATGACTTTGTTACCTCTATAGTACTTCAATTTGCAGTTGAGGTTAGAATCAACCTGTCTCACCACTGCACTGTACATGTAGGTGATCTGCGAAAAAAAACCATCGGCAAACTCTTTCCATTGTATTAGTTAAGTGAGATTTATGACTCGCGTCCCGCTGTGTGTATATTTAAGGCTCGTTGCGTCCAGACTGAGTAAAATTAATAAAGGACATGCCAAAATTGTTTCTAACTGTAGTGTGTGTAATTTTTTTCCACTTATATCTGAGAGTGTGGTAGAGTTTAAGACATTACTACTTGGCAAGGAGACGTCACTTCGAGCCTTGTTTTGTGTCGTGTCAGACGAGGTGTGACATGAACGCTCTGCGCCATAGAGCACTGCTAACTTAATAACAAGATACGTCAAACACTAAATAAACTCCACACCCGATACAACTAATCTCCCTCACTACTTAAGAGGTGTGAAAGTTTTCTGCCTGGGGATAGGCTACCTGTTGGATCTGAACCCAGACTTTGTAGGATGTCGTCTGCCGGGAAGGGTTTATTGTGTAGCAGACGACACTTTTGAGGTCACGAACTAACCCAACCGGTCCAGGAAATGACGGGCGCTCGTTATAAGGCGCTGAGCGGCGCAACAGGTAGATCAGTTACCTGAGGGCTGCGGTAGGAGAAGCATCTCACATACGACATTCGGGACAGACGAAACACGTCGCCATATTGAATTGTGGAAAGTTTACGGTTAGAGAAAGTGAAATCCCCGAGTTTATCTACGGTAACAGCTGGGACCTGTCCACATACCTGTCAGGTACAAGTTGACAGAGGTGCGCGCGCATTGGGTATTCAGCGCCACGTTCAATGCGTTGAACCAATCAGAGAGAGGGTGGCCAGTAAAGTTGAGTCTCGGCACATGGTCTAGAAGTATAACAAAACATTTGGTGGTGGTCTTGCCTCGAGTTCTAGTCAGTTAGCAAGACGCAAGGGACATGGCCCCATACCTTGTAGCGTTGTTTTGCGCCTCAGCCGGGAAGAATGGAGAGGAACTCGGTTCGGATGAGGAACAGATTGTGTTATTCGTCTACCTGTTATTTGATGTCACCAATAACAAGGTGAGTCAGTGGGAACTCTGTCAGTGTCACCACCTCCATCTGGGACCATCTCCCTAACCCCTTCACTCTCGCCCACCCCCTCGTGGTCTCCCCGTTACTAACTATACCCCTTATTTCAGGTGATTGCAGTTCAACATCACTACGTGAAACCTCAGCCGAACGAACTGTCGGAAACTTTGCTGACTGAGGACTGTAAGACAGAAACTGGAATAGATGAAAACGCTGTTAAAAACGGACAGTCACTGGACCATGTATTGGAGGAGGTACGTTCACAACTCTAGCCTTACCTGTTGATTACAGGTATTCTTTTTGATCTCGCCGCCGTTCAGGCGAGAGATGCATGGATGGAAGGGAAAACAATTAGCATGCTCAGCACTGTTTTAGGCACATTCTGTGCTGCGATTAATTATAAAACTCTCGAGTATCTCGCCATGCAACCTGTTGCACGGATATCGATCGCGCTGGGCTTCAGCATATGACGTTGCAGCGTGTCGTGGTAGTCGTTGAAGGGGTAGGCAACACAGGGAAGGGGACTCCGGGAAGGGGGACACAGGAACGGGGGAGGGGGTCGTTATCTGAACTCCAGACGCAGGGTTCTCATGCCCCCACAAACATCAACACCTTCCTCTGATAACATTATCTATCTACCTACATTCATGTTCACCTTGTCACATATTGTACACAGGTAAGTCCGGAAACCTTACCTGTATTAGGGATGTTTTCACTGTAGCCTAGGATCTGATTTCTTGTCGATATCAAGCCCAAACCTACATACAAAACGTACTCCATTATTTACAGCCTTGATTAATGTTTGATTGCCTATCAACAAATTATGGTCATTTGCTCCGTCTCGTTTGTGTTAAGGTAATGATACTATTTAACCAATCAGTAAACAATCCCCTTGATGTATATAGGTGCTCCTACTTCAGTCAAATCATATACGAAGCAAATCTATATTCGTGTACACAGAAACTTAAATATGCTACCATATGGCAGATTTCTAACTTATAATTGAACTTCTCAGTTAAGAGATTTACCTATTACTTACATAAAATTGCAATTCTACGTTACAATTTCCAGTAGATTATCATAATTATTAATCTTTCACTATTCATGATAAAACTTGTGGAGTGTATATACTGCTGTGAATATTGAACACACGGCCATGTGTGGGTGTCACGTGACTCCCTGACTCAACTTCATTCATTGTACAAGTGAGAATATTGAAACATTAGCACTTAAACAGTCACACACAGAGCACTAGAATCTCCGTGGAGCTCTTGTCATGTGTAAACAAATATATGTAGCGTTAGTACCCGACCATAAATTACAGCCTTATCTATGTTATGACTTTAATCCATATTGTTCTCCGAACCTTTATCTTCTAATTAAGGTGCACGTGGAGCTGATGTGTAGGTATGATGTATACGAACCTGATATTTGGTAGTATATGGGTTTATTCCACATATACCAGACATGCATACCGTTTACTAAACATGCCTCGCTATACCGCGCCGCTCTCTACAGCTTATCCCAATTCTCAGGGTAAACATGGACAGTAATGTACACGATACGATTCACATACGGGATGTTGTTTGTTTATATGTTGTGACACTGTTTGGTATATATAAGCAAACATATAGACATCCATATGTAGTAATTATATCACGATATATATGTTGTACCTTAAACTAATCTAATGTGGTCGTACATGTCATACAGTCGATGTAGACGTTGTCCACGCGGACCACAGCACACACTCAGATACTGTTTTCAGCAATATGGCTTTAAATATAGACCTTTATGTTTCTATACGAAGCGCTTAGTATTCGATGGACAGTGTAGGACTAGATTAATGTTTAGATGGACATTTTATTCTGTAAAAGGCTACTTTCCCAAATACATTCATAAATATATATACAGTATTTTGCATGAGTTTTACAGAAATAATATGTTTAAATTGTGATGAAATACTTGTCACATTTTTATTTGAATTCACTTTAGGCGAGACAATAAATAATAGTCAGGAATTGGTATAAGTTTTGTGTATATTCGAGGAAGGATAGGCTAAATTATTCAGGGTTATTTTTGTGTATAGAACGTGTTCAAGTTGATATATTCAGAACAGTTACGTGTGGTATATCATATTGTGAAGCCCATTTCTGGTGTCCCCTGCCGTGCAATTGCTGGAATATTGCTAAAAGCGGCGTAAAACCAAACTCACTCAGTCTAGTAAATCTTTGAACTTGTTATGTGGAGTTTGAATGCTGGAGGAATTTGCACCACAACCTTGCTTACCCTCCACCAGTTGACACTTTAGGGAGTTACTCGTTTGGAACATGCACACCTATAATTACCTATCTTAATCACACTATCTGTTTGAATATAGGAATATGTTTACTTCGCACTGGCCAGCTGTGTACCTTATCAGCAGGTTTGTCACGTGACGATATATCCATATTAACAATAATGGTTAAGTCTGGAATGGCAGAAATCCTGCAAACCAGTCATACAGGATGGCTTCGAGTTCAGTCATGGTGTTTGAAGGCTGTGGGGTAGCCTAGTGGTTAAAGTGTTCGCTCGTCACGCCGAAGGCCCGGGTTCGATTTCGATTTCATGGGTACAAAGTGTGGTGTTCATTTCTGGTGTCCCTCGCCGTGATATTGCTGGAACATTGCTGGAACATTGCTAACAGGGGCGTAAAACTAAACTCAGTCATGGTTTTCCTGTTCCAGTTTGACCGGTTCCTGTGTGCTAAAGGTGCCCACCCTGACCACGGGTCAAGAACATTTTGCTTTGTGACAGATGGTCAGAACCATCTACGTCAGTTGCTGCACCCAGAGGCATGCACCAAGAACCTCTCCCTCCAATCATACTATGGCTCATTCTACGATCTCAGGAGGGAGTTCAAGAGATTCTACAAAACGGACACTATTAAGAATATCAAAGAAATGTTGGAATGTATCCTTTAAAACTGAGTGTGACAATGTGTGATTCTGTTGGAAATCATGGGTGAGTTATTTTCTTTTGTATTTAAGCGGTGTGACTATAGCATTATCGCAACATATGCTGGACGCTAAGCTGTTGCTGTTATCCAACATACATGCCCTGGTTGTATTAGCTCTTCATCCTATTTCATCCTTCACAGCACATATTCCACACTTGTTTCTGGTCTCCCGGTGATCAGTGTTAGAGACATCAGTTGTCTGAAATAATGTCCCACACATGCCACGTGGGGGTCAAGGTCAATCACTGGTTTGCCTGGTCCAGAATCGACCTGTTAAAGGCTACCGAGACATAGCTATATTGCTACTCGCCGAGTAGGAAGTACATGTATTCGTCTTGCATCTATCTATCTATCTCCTCCAGAAGTGGGAAGTGTATTAAGGAGTGGCCGAGACAATATGAAATATTTTCCCTGTCAGTACGGTATATATCACATGGCAATATCGAAGAGATAACCTATTATTATCTAATATTTCACTCGGCAGTGATGGTTGTGTTTCGTGGAAAATGTATTTTCACAGGGAATATGGAATATGTTACAGCACAGAGTCAATTTTGTTTCGCAGCGTGGAACAGTATATTAGAAAATATGTAAACTTTTGCTTGGCCCTAGTTTATAGCCAGTATAGAGTTTCTCTGGCAATATCAAACAGACCGCGGGGCAGGATGAAGCATTATATGTGGCTGGGTATTAAAGTCTCTGAAACCTGTGTGGAGTGTTCCGACAGTCTCTGGGCTACTGGACGTCTCGGAATGTGTAGTGTTGACATGAGGACCAGCTCGTGGAGGCCCTGGGCTGAAGCTGCTTGGCAGTCTGAGGCTAGCAGGGATTCATGTAGATCCTGGTTTGACTTGACGTACTCTTGTGGCCTCATCGTACGTGTATGTTGACGTAGCCTGTGAGAGTGGATGGCGGTTGAAGGTTCATGTGATGTAGTCGTAAGAGATGCAGCTGTAGATGATGGTTATAGCGGTAGGTGTTGTGGCTGTAGGTGATGCAGTTGTTGGTGATTCAGTCGTTATGGTTAAAGTGGTACATGTTGTTGCTGTAGGTGTTGTGGCTGTAGGTGATGCAGTTGTAGGTGATGCAGTCGCTGGTGATGCAGTCGTTATGGTTAAAGTGGTACATGTTGTTGCTGTAGCTGACGTAGCTGTAATGGATGCAGCCGTGATTGCTGTTCATGTAGATGCTGTTGCTGTAGCTGTAGATGTTTCTGTTGAGATGTATCTAACCTGGACAATACCCAGAAACCTGACGCATGATCTACCCGACGTCCTACTTCTCCCATAGCCAGGGTATCTGCTCTAATTGATCAGTGACTAAATCACAACTATGTCTGACAATACAGTGTCCTGGGTGAACTGCCACCAGCATTGCCGGGCGATGTGTCAGCTGTGAGATGGTATAGCAGAGATAATGCATTCTCCATGCCTGGTAGGTTTGTGTTGTGAGTTACGGAGTGTCACAGGGTCGGGGTTTCGGCTCTCGGGTGTAACGCCACACACATCAGCAGGCATTCACATGCAGCAGACCAGAACACCCCTCCATAGGCGTGGCACTAAACATTCTTACAACCAGCGTTGTGTGCAACACCGTAGGGGCAGGCCCGGGGGAGCTCTCCTCTTCATTTACAGCAATCTCATCCTTGATCTTCTGTGATTTAAGTTATAGAAATGTCGAAGCAATGTGTCGAATTCACAAGCATATAACGGGGTACTTGGTGTGCGTCAGTGTGTGGTAAAACGAGGACACGGTAGTAGCACTCCCTGAAATGATGAAGCGAAGGAAATTCATTAGGTGACGGGAACTTATCACCGTTCTTAAAACAGAATAGGGTGTTTAAGGATCTGGTTCGCGTTATATCGGGGCCCTGGAGCAGAGTTGTTGTATATGACATATGAAACTGCTTGAGTGACGGGGATATATCGTGACCATATCGCCAGTAGCTGAAACACCGGTAGAGCAGGTCATGTGATCCAACTTTATTTACATCACGTATTTACTGTAGAATTTAGCTTCTAAGGTGCTTAAGACTGTGTGAGACTGAGTGTGTGTGTGTGTGTGAGAGAGAGAGAGAGGGGGGGGGGGGAGGGAAGGAGAGAGAGAATGAAGGAGAAAGAATGAAGGAGAAAGAGAATGAAGGAGAGAGAAAGGGGGGAGAGAGAGAGAGTAAGAGTAAAGAAGTGGGTGAGAAATGAAATGACACTTTCTGGTTATCAGGATATGAGATTATGGAAACTGATATGTGAATATTGGATATTGGTCATGTATTTCTCCGCATGCACGTGTGCACGCCATACGCAAGATTCGACTGATACAGCTCTACATTAGGCCATCACAATATGTATATCACATCTATTGTCCAGATGAGAGGCACATTAAGACCGATGCTGCCCTGACCCCTGCAGCCACTCGGTAAACAGCAGACTTGACCCTAAATATAGCACACTGAAATATCGCTGTGTTTTCAGGGACGAGTTGTCCTTACACCGTCCCCATTATGCTGCCATTGTCTTACATGCCCGATTGTGTGATATATCCAATATCCTCAGCTGTGTGATATATATTATATGCCCAGCTGTGCAATGTATCCTATATGCCCAGCTGTGCGATATATCCTATATGCCCAGCTGTGCGATATATCCTATATGCCCAGCTGTGCGATATATCCTATATCCCCAGCTGAATGATGCCCGAATGTGGTAGGCCCTGTGTGTCCTGTTCACGACCCGACTCAATAATAGGAGTGAATGACCGATTCAGTTGCTCTGATGCCAGCCTCAGTGGTATGCAATAGACAATCTTCTGAATAATTTACGGTATATACCCGTAGCAAATCAAGGAAAATATATGCCCAGATTGTCCCTGACAAGCATAACAACGGGAATGTCTGGTCCAAATTGACTTAATTTCCCATATGCATGTCATGTTCGGTACGCTACACACTCTGGTTTGACAGCTACAGGAGACCTATGCTTAATGAACGTACGTGTATAGCGCCTGTTGTCCACTACAGGTATACAATGCGTTCAACTGTATGTGGGGCGGTGGGGTAGCCCAGTGGTTAAAGCGTTGGCTCGTCACGCCGAAGGACCGGGTTCGAATCCCCACATGGGTACAGCGTGTGAAGCCCATTTCTGGTGTCCCCGCCGTGATGTTGCTGGAATATTGTTAAAAGCGGCGTAAAACCAAACTCAGTCAGTCAACTGTATGTTGTGATAACAGGAGCTCGAAGTAGACAGCGAATGCATCGTCTTGTACTGAACCGTGGTCAGCTTCTCGACCGTCTGTGTGTACCCACAGTCTACTATGTGTCAGCCTAAATTGTCCATTTGTAGGGCCTGTATCTCTATCAACATCATCTACCCCGATTCCCGGTTATAACAGGTGTCCAGCAAAACTTGTTGGTCATTGGAGGCGACTGGGTGGATCGGGTGGTCAGAGTCAGTGGTTTGGTAGATAGCGTGTGATCGTACCCTACGTCGTGGATAGTGCTCATGCTATCAATCACTGAGTGTCTGGTCCAGATACGACCATAGACAAGAGGCTGTCATATCGGGAATAATACTGAGTGCGGATGGGTACAATGTGTGAAGCCCGTTTCTGGTGTCCTTCGCGTGATATTACTGGAACATTGCTGGAATATTGCTAAAAGCGGCGTAAAACCATACTCACTCACTCACTTAGTGCGGTGTTAACTGTTAAGAAAAAAACAACAAAAACAAACGAAACCTAAGTATTCTACGTATTCTGTTCTGTCTGCCAATGTGATCTGACTGTCTGATGAACTCACGGAGACAGGTAGTCAGGGCCGTTTGATGTCAAGGGGTTAAGGGTTAATTACCTGAGGTCAGGGTTCACCACCGGATTCTCTTGTGATCTAACGTATTATTCGACATGACGTCACGTCCAAGATAAGCGTAAATTCAAGTTTCTCGTGGCTATACAGGGGGATCAACTTCGCGTCTTTCTTCAACTTGTACGCCATTGTTTACTGTATAGGACAATTGGGATTGAGGCTGGGGGACAATACACGTGATTTAGTCGGTGTGGCCAGGTACGCGGGTAGTCATAATGCCCCTGTTGCCCGTGGCGGGTGTTACAGCCAGGTCATTAAGGCAATCAGGGGTCCGTGTACAGCTGGGTCAGCGTTGTCGGGTACAGCTTAACCCTGGTGTCAGCTGCCCTGGGTAGCTGGGACCCAAGTGTCAGGTGGTCTAGGTTGTTGGGACCCTTGTGTCATCTGGCCTCAGTCGCTGGGACCCTTGTGTCGTTGGGCCTACGGGGCGGTGGGGTAGCCAGTGGTTAAAGCGTTGGCTCGTCACGCCGAAGACCCGGGTTCGAATCCCCACATGGGTACAATGTGTGAAGCCCATTTCTGGTGTCCCCCGCCGTGATGTTGCTGGAATATTGCTAAAAGCGGCGTCAAACCAAACTCAGTCAGTCAGTCGTCGGGCCTACATTGTTGGGACCCTTGTGTCGGCTGGCCTCAGTCACTGGGACCCTTGTGTCGGCTGGCCTAAGTTGCTGGTTTTGGTAAGGTGAAGGTTTTGGTATGTGTGAGATCGGTGACTGGATCAATATCCAGGTAGACTCTTTGAGATATGTGTCTGACTCTACTCGGGTGGACTTGTTGGGTATACACGCTCAGACTGCCGATCTACCCGAGATTAGCGAATCCACTTTCCTTGAAGGTCCGATCAGGTTCCCCTGCCTGACTTTCTATCGCTATTCCCATCTTGAGTTTGCTCTGCACCCGACTGATCAAATCGGAACCTTTCTACCCTGGCCTATCAACCGTAATGCCAACTCTACACGATATACCCACAATGTAGGCTGCCTATACAATGCCAATACATTGACTATAGATTTCTCTTACGTATTCAATCATAGCCCGTATCACGCACACAATTTTCATGTTTCGCTCTATCTGTAGTCTCAAATTTCACAGATG